ATTTATAGATCAAATGGTGGAAAGTGTTTTTTCAATCATATGCATATATGCATGAGCATGTAAAAATTTATAAAAATAAATATGCATATCTATATAAGTATGTATGTATGATGTCATTGCGCATATAGCTCACCTGTTAACCGCAGCAGCCATTTGTTGTACGTCATGGGTGTTGGGGTGCCCGTTGGCAGTCGCCAGCAACCCATTCTAGACAATATTCTTGTCACTTTTTATAAGTTTGTAATTTGGTGTTTGATGAGTTCTTTGAACTAGAATTTAGGAGAGAGAAAAAGAATGAGAATGTAGAGTGTAGAATGCTAGAATGTTTGCAGAGATGGTTGTGTGGTTATTTTTTATGGGTTTCCAAGAAAAATATTTACATGAGTATTAAAATTTATTTATTTTTTAATTAAAACTAGCCAAAATTTGTTTACCTTTCATCGGCTTTTCTTAATTATTTTCATCTATTCTTTTCAGTCAGACTCAGACGCCTCATTGAAAATCCATCAGCAAAATTAAGTAGTCATAAAAATATGATATCTGTTATTTCCTTTATATGTAGCTCATTTACTCCTGGAACAACTCTCCTTTATTGCCTTCTATCAGCTTTATTGCTTTTACACTGCAACGTTTTTATCACAATCGATACTCATTTTAACAGCACTCGCAAGTCGTTTTATATAATTATTTTAAACATCATTGAATGATTTTAATTTTTAATTATCACCAAATAATTTCAAAAAGTAGCAAAGTGAAAATGTGTATTTTTTATTCAAGCAACTACCGAATACGTTTTTTTCTTTTTGTTTGCAAGAAATTAAACATCCTAATGTCTTTTTCAAAGTAATAGACGGGTATATGTATAGAGTATGTTTAGTTACATATATGTATGTAGATAGTAAGAGCTTGCTTTCAATTGCATTCACTATAGAAAAATCTAGAAAATAGAAATAAGAAAAACATATCAATTAAAGAAGGCATGCTATAGATAGCTAATATATTTGTTTTTAATTTTCAAATTATTTCATAGTGAAACAAAATAAAATTCGCTTAAAAAAAATTGCAAATGAATACAACATAATGATGTTACTGTAAAGAGCTAAGATTAGTTTAGCAAGCATATGTGACTGTAAAATATTTATTTAATTGGATTTAATTAAAAATGTAAAATGTGTGTGCTTTTTTAAAAACCACTGTAAATGCCGTAGATTTGACGAAAAATATAAAAAGGTGAATTCTACGTTCAACAATGGGAAATTTTCGAGTGATTTCGTACACAAATTGCTAGAAGAGCCTCTTTTTCGCCGAATTGAATATTTTTTTTAAATATTTTTTTTATGCCCGTATTAAAAAAAAAACTTGTATTTTTTATCGGCATATGAGGAAAGTCAAAAAATGTTTTTTCGTTATAATTTCCGCCATATTGGATTGGATATTTTGAATCTCACTATTCTATCAGTAATTAATTTAGATTTTTTGAGTCTCTATAGAGGAATCTGAAGTTTGAACCCTGTGCGACACGCCTTAACCGACTCCAATCGGGACAAAAATTTATATGTGATATCTTCGACTATAGTAGCATCGACGTAGGGGTTGAGGCTTAGGAAATCTGACGTAAAAATGTACTTCCTACATTTAAGGACCAACCTAATGTAAATATATATTTTTGTTTGAAATACTAATCAAATTTCTGAACAATATGCAGGTTCAATATATTTAAATAAATATGTTTAACAACGTTTTTCCATTCAAAATTTCGTATTCTAGCTAATCCAACAACCAAGTAGAAAAACTATTGCATTTCACGGGCTGTGCTCTGAGCTTAAAACTCTTTGAGAGGGCCGGACTCCATTTTAGTGGAATATACTATGGAAAATTACGTTCCCGCATATATTTCAATGCACCAATGTTTATCTATAAATCTATTGGAAAAATCATTAAAAAGAAACGAAAAGCTTTGTCTTAAAACCCATCACTTCATAGCAACAGCTTAAAAGTAATCCGCCCAGTCATCAGTCAGAATTGTTGAAAGCTGTAATCAGATGTTTGTAATAGGCGGCATACACCGTGCGTCTGACTCGTGAGTCGGTTTGGATGTGTTTGTGAAAATATATATGTGTTAGTTACACCCATGGTGTAATGAACTGAAGGTGGCGAATTCCCGAAACCGCTACTTTGGTTTTGCCGAATTTGACGTTTATGGCAATACGTAAACAAACTTTTTGTTTAGAAACAAGTGCAAACGTATTGCAAACGTATTGTGTACTTTCAAGTGAAAATCTAAGTAATTCGTGCGTTCTAAAGTAAAAAACGTTTTATTTGTAATAAAAACTTAATAAAAATGCCGTGTCGTGTGTTGAATTATAGCAGCCGTAGGGGTAAAGCCACCAAATGCAGTTTTTTTTTCATTTTTTTTATTATCACTTTTTCGGCACCTGCAATACAAACACAAAAACTCTAAATAGTTAATTAATAAGACCTATTCTTTTGAACACATTTCAAGAGTGGTTGTATATTTTTTGTTAACGTTGTGCTTAATTTGCTCTATTCAAAGATGGCTTGAGACATTGGTGAATCGTGAAGAAAACACGTTTTCTCACTGCAAATTCACAGCTGTCAACTCATTGTTCTTCGCCATATTCTTTGTTTACCCGTTGCCACAAATGTCATTCTGCGGGAATGCGCAATCTTGTATTCTACAGTTCTTGAGTTACACCGCCATGACTCTGGCATGACTCAGATATGAGTTTGGAGAACTTTATACAATTAAAAAAAAAACTCCAAAATCGGCCACACTTTTCAAAACCAAAATTGATTACCCTATAAAAATTCAAATGGCTTGTCTATATACTATGCAGTGTTGCCAGAACTTTTTGGGCCGACCGGCTAAATTGGCAAAAAAAAGCGGCTAAAAACGGCTAAAATGTTTTAGTGAAATTTCACATAGACTCTGGCAAAAAACGGCTAAAATGTTTTAGTGAAAATCCACATGCTTTATTTAAATAAATCGCAAGAAACGAAAGACTAGTTAACACCATTAATTTATATCGAGTGTATATTCCTCATCATCAAATGAATCACTATTGTATATATCACCTGAATTCATTAATTTTAAGAGATCGTCATCTACAGTACAATTATGGCAGCATTTTTCTTCACGTTTTAAACCGTATCTTATATATAAAATAGCGTTTAACGTTTTAACGCACATTGGATTTCTTTGCTTAGTTTTTATTATATTCATTGAACTAAATATTCGTTCTACTTCTGCATTACTTATAGGCAAAACAAGAAAACTAAAAACTAGGTTGCAAAGGTCAGCAAAAGGGTTTTCACCTAGGGCATTTCGAAATTGATAAACTTCGGCCCAAAATTTTACAGTTGAGTCTAAATTACTCCAGGTATGTAACGTTAACCGTTGCCATTGCATCTCTATGGATGTTATTTCGTCGGCGTTATATTTTTGTTTTTGTTGCTGTAGTTGAACAAATACTTTTGGTTTAATTACTCTTAATGCATTTCCAACCGAAAGAAGTCAATTTTTTTTAGTGTGGCAATATTTGTAGAGAGGCGTTGGCGTAATTCCTTTATTAAAGCGATAATAAAATAGCGACCATTTTCTCGAATTATTTTCTCGGCTTCGTGGTCAAAAGCGTTTGTGCTTACTTTTGTTTTTAAATACTCTTCAAAACTGTGATAAAACTGAGGAAATGGAGCAAGGTATTGGTCAACGGGGAGCATATAGGATCAAATGTGCCCGCGCTAATAACCACTAGGGCGCATAGATGCGAAAGTAAAACATTGAGTTCATTAAAAATCTTCATTGGGTCTGCATTATTGCTTTCGAACAACTTGTTTACTTTTTGCACCTGAAAATTAGGCAAATAGTAAAATCGGCTAAAAACGGCTAACTTTTTTTTACAAACCGGCTAACAAATCGGCTGCCGGCTAGATCGAATTTTCTCCGGCTAGTTGCTATTAAAACCGGCTAAATCTAGCCGGAAAACGGCTAAAATGGCAACGCTGGTCTTGTATGTAGTATATGGATGTACGTACGGATGGATGTATGTAGATGTACTTTTAAAAATTGTAAAGGAAATTTTTCTTTCAAAAATAGAATTTAGCTTTTACTAAAATAATCAGTCTTCCAGCTCCTATTATTTTTTTTTATTGAATTTGTATATAAAATAAATAGGTACTATGCAAAATAATAAAGAAAATGGGAGAAGGTGTAGAAAATCAGATAACATTTAAGCACACAAGAGCTGTGGCAGTGTGTCAACTTTGACCATTTTCCACATTTCTTCTTTCCTAAATGCAGAATAGAGCATATACATAAAAAATGTGTGTTTGCTGATTTGTAGTATGGTTACAATTTTTGGCCGCAGCTTATATGGGGACGTCCCACTGTGCGCCGTAGCCTACTACTTGTATTAATTGCAGGATACACACATATGCACATACCAACAATTATGCATTGGAAATCCCATAAAATCTAAAATAGTTTTGAATTGTAAGTAAAGCTATTTTTATTTTTATGCGTTTTTGGCTTAGTGTAGTTTTGATTGATATGGTCGTAAATATTTTAATTGCATTTCTGCATATTTACTTACATACATACATATGTATATACAATACCAAAAGATATAATAAAAATTTGGCTTTCTTGAAATGCGGAACCAAGATTTCCATTTTTTCCCATTTGTTCATTGACGTCAGGGCAATTACATATTCTTTTCTCAGCTGTTAAGTTGAGAAAAATTTGTTTTATTGTGTGATACGAGTACGATTCGAATAGAGTATACTGAAATGTTAATACAAGAGTTATAAGAAATATTTTTTAGCGT